TAGCCAGGATGGTCTCGATCTCCTGACCTCGTGATCCGCCCGTCTCGGCCTCCCAAAGTGCTGGGATTACAGGCTTGAGCCACCGCGCCCGGCCCGATGATTCTAAACAAAGCAAACTGCCCGTCCCCGGCACCAAGTTCACTTCCTCCTGCAGGGAAAGGGGCTCCCGGGCTCACCTTCTCCTCGGCCGACCTGAGCACACTGGAGACCTCCTGCACTGCCAGCTCCAGGGACTGCTGCCGCGGGTCCTCCTCAAAGGACAGGAAAGGCGGGCCCTGGAACAGAGGAGTGGCATGAGGAGGGGCATGCACAGGAGGGGCTGCATCTTTTAAATTATGTATCTGTTTAAAATTCTGAAAAATTAAGAAAATGTACTAACACGTCTTTCTGTTAACCCTGTGCTTCTAAATAGCAGCAGCGGCTAAATATCAGTAGGTATGCACATACAAGGAGCAGCTGCTGATGGCTTGTGCTCAGTGCGCAGGATTCAGTTATAGGAGAAGGCTGGGAAAGGACAGGCACCCAGGAGCGAAGGTGAAGATGCTGCAGGAAGCCTGTGAAGGGCATTCGGAATCTTCCTGCTGACAGCATAAGGAAAGAAACAGACTCTTGGGGCAGGGCCGCTTCGTGTACATTAGAGGATCTGTGGGTCTAGCGGTCACCTTGGCTGGCACAGTGGGCTCCGGCTGTGCCCTCCCTGACTGCTAGGGACGGTCCTCTACTCTGGTCTAGGAGAGGCACCTCTCCCTGTTGCGTGTGGTTGCTGTGGCACGGTTACTTAGGGTGCCCCCATTCTCTTCTCCTACCCCCTAGGCCTGGTCTCTGCCTGGGATCTGAGAGGGTGACCAAGGTTCCTTGGCTGGAAAGGAGCCCAGCTGGTGGCTGCCCACAGCGTAGACTCCTTGGCTCCTACTTCACAGCTCTCTGGAGCCACCTGGCCCCAAGGTTCACCTTTGCCCATGGCTCTGCATGTTCCCCCGGCATCCTTTCAGGAAACTCGGTCAGCTCATGTCTGTTCTGGTTCTTCCAATTAAAAATCTCCAAGCAAGGCCAGGCATGGTGGCTCACACCTGTAATCCCAATACTTTGGGAGGCCAAGGCGGGCAGATCACTCAAGGCCAGCAGTTCAAGACCAGCCTGACCACATGGCAAAACCCTGTCTCTACCAAAAATACAAAAATTAACTGGGTGTGGTGGCACACATGGGTAATCCCAGCTACTCAGGAAGCTGAGGCACAAGAATCACTCGCACCCAGGAGGTGAAGGTTGTATTTAGCTGGATCACACTCCAGCCTGGGCGACAGAGCAAGGCCCTGTCTCAAAGAGAAAGAATTAAATCCCCAAACAAGAGATGCACAATTAAATAAACAGGACCACAAGGCAACAAGACCAACGTTTTATAACAAAGAAACCAGGGTTTATGTGGCCAGCCAAGTCTTGCTCTTTGAAAACTAAGCTCTCGAAAGGCCAAATGTGTATTGCCAACAACACAACCCCACACTGAAATTCTCCTTGAACTCTGTTCCTGACATGGTGTAGAAAGCACATCAGGTTTAAGTAAGCTCCGACTGGGTGGTTAAAAAACACGCAGCCCCACAGGCTCCCATTGTATCTCATCTCCACCGCAGTGAGCTAGGTCCAGCTACAAGGCATGACCGAGGGTGGGAGACGGGAAGCAGTGTAAAACCGTGCCATGGCGATTCCAGCAAGCATGGTGCAAGTGAGCAAGCAATGAGATTATGCTGTGGCTATTTCTTAAGAATTCCCAATGACCCGAGTAAACCTAAAAGTGACAGAACATTTTGATTTATACACTTCTAACCTCACCCTGTTCTTGCACTATCTACCTCATCCCCAAAAAATCAGCAAAGAATTAAATGTACTGCCCAAGAGGGATGAAATCACAGTTTCGGGGCTGCTCTGCTGGCATTCTCTGTGGTGGGAGCTTGTTTGGGTGGGACCTGCTGGCCAGGGCCACGCTGTGAGCTTGGTGATGAGACAGTTCTGTGCACCAGGCTCTCTGGCCTGAGAGAACAGAACCCAGCACAGAGAACAGTGCCAGGCAGAGAACCATGAGCAGGCAACATGCCAGCCGCTCGGAGGATGCAGTGGAGAAACAATGTACCTTCTGTAGTAGTCTAAAGATACGACGTTGCCCTACACCAGCCTAGGTGCAGACGCATGCTCCCCTGGGGCAGCAGATGCAGTGTTTACCCTTTCCCTTGCTACCTTCTGAATTCAAACCTTGAAAAGAGTTTGCAGCCGGGTACGGTGGCTCACGGCTGTAATTCCAGCACTTTGGGAGGCCGAGGCGGGCGGATCACAAGGTCAGGAGATCGAGACCATCCTGGCTAACATGGTGAAACCCCATCTCTACTAAAAATACAAAAAAATTAGCCAGGCTTGGTGGCAGGCGCCTGTAATCCCAGCTACTTGGGAGGCTGAGGCAGGAGAATGGCGTGAACCCGGGAGGCGGAGCTTGCAATGAGCCGAGATCACACCACTGCACTCCAGCCTGGGCGACAGAGCGAGACTCCATCTCAAAAAAAAAAAAAAAAAAGAGTTTGCTGGGAAACTTAAGGTCAAGGGGTGGTCTCACAAAGAAAATGAATTATTAAGAGAGATTGCTTTTCCTTTTCTGATCTGCCAAGTCCTTGAGTTTCAGGAGCAGGGTGTGCCTGCCTGCCACACACAACCACAAATTCAGGTATCTCTGCATCTCTGCTGCTGTGTCAATGCTGAGAGAACCCTTATTCCAGACCCCAGTCCACTTAAAGGAAGACTTTGTGTCCACATGGAAAAAGAAACACACAAGAATTGCCAGGAAAACACTGAAAAAGGAAGACAAGGGTAACTAGCTCCACCAGATATTAAAACAGACTACAGAAACCCCATAATTAAAACTGTGTGGCTCTGGTGCACCAACAAACACATGCACTACAAATGAACAATATAACCACCCTGAAGGGGATGGGAAAAATACAGATATAACCTAAGAAGCTTGGAAAACTGCATCTTGACTGCACATAAATGCTGTAATCCAGTAAATGTGTTTCATAGGTTGGGAACTCAGAAACTACTTTATGCATATACTAGAACTGAACATATAAGTAGTAAGTAAATAAGACAGCAGATGTCCAATGTCTTACTCTTGGAGAAGGGAGTTAAGAATAAGAAAGGGAAAAAACTAAAATGAACTCTGTTGGATTAGAACCCAAGGTACAGGATACAATCATGATTTTTAAGATAAACGCAGTGAGAAATACACAGAAATATAGACACACGCACACATGTTGGTATACACATGTATGTTTGCTATTGCTGAACACTGAAGCACTGAAGAGGAGCAATGAGAACCAAGCGGTAATGAACACACCCAATGCCTAGGTCTTGGTTTCTAAACACTTCTCCAATAAAAGGAATCAGGGCTGCTTGAAGAAGTGGCTGAATCCAGGGCCTGTGGGGAGCCAAAAACAAACATTTTGTGGAAACATGAAGGAAATGAAAAAAAAAAAAAGTGGGCTTGATGGAAGAACACAAGAGGCTACTCTCAAAGGAGCACGCTGATGGCCCAAAGGAGAACAACTTAAGCAACTGATTTGGTTTGGCTCTGTTTGTAATCCCCACGTGTCAAGGGAGGGCCCTGTAATCCCCATCTGTAGAGGGAGGGAGGTGACTGGATCACGGGGCGGTCTCTCCCATGCTGTCCTCATGATAGTGAGTTCTCACAAGATCTGATGCTTTCATAAGTGTTTGGAAGTTCCTCCTTCCTTCTTCCCTCTCCTGCCACCTTGTGAAGAAGGTGCTTGCTTCCCCTACCACCATGATTGTAAGTTTCCTGAGGCTTCCCTAGCCATGTGGAACTGTGAGTCATTAAATGTCTTTCCTTTATCAATTACCCACTCTCAGGGAAGTCCTTCAAAGCAGTGGGAAAACAAACTGATACAACAATATAATAAACAGTGATAGTATGGGGTTATAACCCACAGAATGAAATAAATACCCATTGAGTCTATATTGAGCTAAATAATCAGATAAATATCTCATTGGAGGAGAAATGACAGATCTCTCCTGCAGTAGAGTTCCAAATAATAAAGAGAGCAAGGAAGAGGAAACAGAAAGTCACCATCAAGCGAATTGCAGCTTCGTCATCACTGCACACAAGATATATCAATGGTTGTGAAATCAGTGAGGAAAAGTTTGAGGAGCGATGGGATCTGCACAGGCTCAAAGTATGTCCCCACACTACCTGTTAACTACAGCAGGAAAGATATAAGGAGGTGGCATGATGTGGATCTGTGTCCCTGCCCAAATCTCATCTTGAATTGTAATCTCCAGTGCTGCCAGAGGGGCCTGGTGGGAGGTGACCGGATCATGGTAGGGGGACTTCTCATGAATGGTTTAGCACCATCCCCATGTGGTACTGTACATTGAGTGAGTTCTCATGAGATCTGGTTGTTTAAAAGTGTGTAGCACCTCCTGCCTCTTTCTCTCCCTCCTGCTCTGGGTCATAGAAGATGAGCCTGCTCCCCTTCACCTTCCACCATGATTGTAAGTTTCCTGAGGCCTCCCCAGAAGCAGAATCTGCCATGCTTCCTGGACAGCAGAGCCATCAGTCAATTAAACCTCTTTTCTTATAAACTACCAGTCTCAGGCATTTCTTTCTGGCAATGCAAGAATAGACTAATACAGGAGGAGACATAAAATACAAGAGGATGACCCCAGCAGAACTCACCTTAACCAAGGCACCAAGCTCAGCATCCACTGCAACAAGACACACTGACGTCACAAGCCCCAGACACAGTGCACACCACTTCTGTGGTTTGTATAACCTCACTCCAACCATATGAAAATGCCAGGCAAATGGAAAGATAGTCAGCAAAATAATGATCAATAGTCTTCAGTTATCAAGGTCATAAAAAACAAAGGAAGACTGAGAAACCCTGACAGACTGCAGGTGATGAAGAAGTCACAACTCAACGCCACAGGTACCCTTAATGGGAACCTAGAACAATACAAGGAGACAGGTGGAAAACTGGTGAAATTCAAAGAAGGCCTTCGCTTTAGTCATTAGGTGTTGTGACAATGTTAATCTTTCTCTCTTTCTTTCTCTTTCTTTCTTTCTTTCTCTCTCTCTTTCTCTTTTTCTTTCTCTCTCTCTCTTTTTTTTGAGACGGAGTTTCACTCTTGTTGCCCAGGCTGGAGTACAATGGCACAATCTTGGCTCACTGCAATCTCTGCCTCCCGGGTCAAGCGATTCTCCTGCCTCCGCCTC